AGATTTGGCAACACCACATGGTGAAGCACATGCACATATGAAGCAATTTCGTTCACAAAGAAATTTTTATATTGCTGGTTTCGCTCTTTTTCTTTGGTTGTACGTAAAAAAACAACGAATCTTAAATTTTCGAGAAAAGTATTCATAAGATAATTTTAGTGTGATTAAACGTTTAATTAGTCTTTTATCTCATGTTGCACGTGAAATGGCTGATTCAGCTGCAGCACGCAAACAAGCTGAAGGTGCTCATCGTCATATAGAAGAACTTATGTCAACTGATAAATCAGTAAGATTTTGTTTTATTTATTTAAAAAAAAAAAACTTAAATTTTTTATTTTTTGTTTAAAGAAAGTTGATACTCAAGAAATTCCTGTTTCATCAGATGAGGGATTACGCTTTATTAATCCAAAAGAACATGATGCTGAAATTGAGAAATATAAAAAAGGTTTGTTAAATAGAAAAAAAAATTTATGATTTTAATTTGAATATTTTTGTTTTTGTTCTATTTTTCAGAACTGATGAAAGCACATGAAGATATCGAATCATTACGTGAACAATATGATAGTTCAATTAAAAATTACGATGATCTTGCTGAAGAACATAAGAAAATACAAGTAAATTAGAGGAAATTGACTTTTATCAATCGAAATTTTTTTTTTGATTTTTTTTAGAATAAATTGGCTGTTTTAACAGACAATGAATCAGCAAAAGACAAATAAACAAGTACATACGCTTACATATATAAACAATCTTTTTCTAATTTCTTTTGTCTCGCATTTTTTTTTTGACTAAGTGTATACTTATGACTAGAAATCCAAGCTTGTATTAGCGTATCACATTAGCGTTCTCTGAATTATTTGCCGTTTGTAATTTTTTTTCTTTCATTTATTCGAGCAATACACATTGTCAAACATATATAAATAAGCTAAATAAACTATTCGAGATCACATATATTAAATTGTTCTTTGTTTTATTATTAATAAAAATCTTCTAGAAGTGTATTGAAAAGCAAAAACTAACCATGTCTGAGATAACAAGTGAGACAACAGCAGCAAAAATTACATTTAAAAAAGTGAATCCAATGAAAGATTTTTTGGCTGGTGGTGTTGGTGGTGCTTGTCTTGTTATTACAGGTCATCCATTAGATACAATTAAAGTAAGTTTAAATACGAAGATAATTCAATAATAAAGATTTGATTAAAACTAAAAGGTTCGATTACAAACACAACCAAAACCACAGCCTGGACAATTACCAGTGTTTAAAGGAACTTGGGATTGTGCAAAAAAAACTGTTGTAAAAGAAGTAAAAATTATTCAAAAACAAAAAATTGAGATAATAAAGCGTATTTCACATTGATATAGGGTTTTACTGGTTTATATAAAGGCATGGGTGCACCACTTGTGGGTATGTTCTTACGAGAATACATTTTCAACTGATATCCTTCGTTCGAGTTTATGGTTTTCTCATCAATGGGACTCTGTAAGATTCGAAGACACCTATAAATCATTGAACAATTAAATGAAGAAATTTTCACATGAAATTTAGCCGATATTGAAGAATAGTCGATTTTACGATCCTTTTTTTTTATAAAATAGTATTATGTTTTGAAAATTCAATATCTCAAGAAAGAAGCATTCGTTTTGGCTGAAAATTTTCGAATATTCTAACGATTATGGAGCCCTATGGGAAAAATATGAACTCGAACGAAGAACATGCGTTAGGAATATTCGCTAGCCAAGTTAGAAAAATAGATTTTATTTTATTTTAAAATAAAAGGTGTTACACCGATGTTTGCGATTTGCTTTTTTGGATATGGTATTGGAAAAAAAATACAAACACCATCTGCTGAAAATGGTGATTATACGTAAGTAGTTTAATTTAGTTCTTTTTTTTTTTACTATAAACAATAGCGTTCATGATTAGTTTAAGACAAATATTTGCTGCTGGTATGTTATCTGGAGTTTTTACAACTGTGATAATGGCACCGGGTGAAAGAATTAAATGTTTATTACAAGTAGGAATATGAATTTATTCACACTTGATAAAGAGTTTTTAAAACAAAAAAAAAATAAATTATAGATTCAACATGCGGCTCATGAACATAAATATAATGGACCAGTAGATTGTGCTAAACAATTATATAGAGAAGGTGGTATTCGAAGTATCTATCGAGGAACAGCATTAACACTTATGAGAGGTAAAAATAACATTTTAATACAATCTGTTACTTAAATAAGATGAATCTAATATTTAGATGTACCTGCATCCGGTGTTTATTTTGCTTCATACGAATTCTTAAAGCGATCATTGACACCTGAAGGACATTCGTAAGTATAAATAAAATACATCTATATACGTATATATATTCCTTTATTGAATTCAGACCTAGTGAATTGAGTGCATTGAAAACGTTATTTGCTGGTGGCATGGCTGGTATTGCTAATTGGGTTGTAGCCATTCCTCCTGATGTACTAAAATCAAGATTTCAAACAGGTTTGCTTTGAATTTTGTAATTATTAATTAAAAAAAAAACGTTTTTTAATTTAAATGGATAGCTCCAGCAGGCAAATATTCAGGTGTAGCTGACGTATTAAGAGAATTAATACGTACAGAAGGCATAAGGTCACTTTATAAAGGCATTGTACCTGTTATGCTACGAGCTTTTCCAGCTAATGCTGCATGTTTTCTTGGTTATGAACTGACAATCAAATTTCTTGATTATATATGGCCACATTGGTGAAAATAAAACAAATTTCTATTCTTTTTTTGTTTTTTGTTTTTGTTTTCATTAACATTCGGTCAATGTTTGGGTTCACTAATGTGAAGATTCTTTTTTCTTTCTTATGCATTATCTTTTGTTGAATTACTATTTTGCTATCTTAGAAATCAAAAAGGTAGAAATCATTTTTCAATCAATTATTTAGCATAATTATATTCTAATAAACATCTTTCATGAGGAAATCTTTTTGGAACAATATGATAAATGTTCAAGAAAACTAAATGTGATGAACATGACAAAATTGACTTATATTAAAATGAATGAATTCAATAATAAGTTTTTCATACGTATTCAAAAACAAACATTCAATTATTCTTTTTTTTCTAAAGCTTAATAATCATAAAATAAAAATGATATTCTGGTCATATGACAGAGATAGACGGAACTGTCGTGCGTTCCTGATAAAGCTTACGAGGTTAGTACGCCTCTTCGTTCTTTTGCTTGATGAACACCTTTCGAAAGCACAAGTCGTACGATGTGATCACACGACATGTGCTTCATGAACATTGTCACAATGCGGTATAGGCGTGTGATAAAGCGCGGAACAGTCCCGTTCAGAGGTCTTAATGAACCAGACTGGATCGAAGAAAGCCGACTCAGCCCATAGGTTTTTCTTAAAAAATGGGCGATTCATCTAATTGTATTAAATAAATTTTTAACACATGAATGAGCAATCATATTTCGACTAATAATCGTTAATGTGTAAACAAACGTTGATTAACATATTTGACAACTTATAAAATCTTCAACTCTTTCGAATTTCTCAGTATTTTCCGAGTTTTTAGTCGGAAAAACAAAAACTTTCTAACATAAAGATCTCTTAGCTTCTTTATATTTAATAACAGCATATATCAAAGGTTGTTCTGTTGCAAAAGAAATTTGTTCCACTCGAATGTCTACTGTTTTGTATGTGATAATGAACCAGTACCGGTAGTTGAAGAGATATAGAGAAAGTCTTAATATGGTATGAAAGCACATATGCATTAGGCTTTCATGCTATGTGAGTTTTTTGCTGTAACAAAATCTGTACTTTGTGTCGCAATTTTCTAGAGAACAGTGTGAGTCGCTAGAAATTCGTTCGAACTATTTTTGAATCTTTAATATGAAATTTTGTGTATCTTTAGTAAGTTCCGCAAAACAGTAACTTTGACGATTTATCATTCATCTATTATCTGAAATAATTCAATAAAATAATCGATATAGATCTATTTGAAGGATTCTATTGAAATTTAATCAATGAAAATATTTCAATGAAGAGAGATTTGTTTTGACATTATTTATTTATTTTCATACGGAGAAAATATATAGTCAAAAATAAAAATCAAATCGTTTATTATCGTGATTAATTTGTTTTTTGAAGAGACTCGTTAAAAAATCTATTATTTTCATATTAATTTCGAAATATTCGTTTCTCATAGTTATGATTGACGAGTGATTCGATATTTCTCTTTCTCTCTATTTATGTCTAACCTTGAAATATGAGATACGTTATCAAAAGTCAAAGAAAAAAAATAAATATATTCGCAGAATTTGCTTTTATTTTTTCTAAAGATAAGTATTAGTAAAATATGGTTGTTGACCATATTGTTGATATGGTAAAAGTCAATCTCTTTGATATTGAGTATCGGGAGCATACAAAACATATTATCGAGCCAATGCTGATATAATCGATGATGGACTTTGATTTATATTATATTCTTCCCAAGGATATTGACCTTCTCCATATTGAGTTGGACCATTTTGAAACCAATCGTTGAAATTATTTTTTGATAAATAAAAATAATTAATCGAATTTTGATAATTGTATTCTTGATTATATTGATGATTTATTCATTGACTCGATTATATTTCTAGTGTTATTATCGGTGGTGAAATAGGATCTATTGTCAATGGAGACATAGATGAGCTAAACAAGTCATTTTTTTCTCGATCTTCTTAAATAAAGCAAAAAATAATTATTTTTATATTTAGTTAAATTTGAAAACTTTTTAAAAACGATTTTTTCACTTTTAATCTTTGTTTATTTGATGAAGATAATCCCATAGCAACTACTAAAGCAATTAATACAAAAAAAAACCTTTCTCATAATAAGACTAACAAGATCATTCCACCATGCTCAATGAAGAAAAGCAAATGCACGATACTGACGACCTTGAACAGACATTAAACCCAATATTGTTGATATAAATATAACTAAGGAAAATTTTCGTTTTATTTTATTTATTTAACCATACTGCTAATAAATAAAAGAATGGCAGCACCAAGAAACATTACTTCAACTACTAATCCATCAACATTAACTATAACAATTATAATACGAAGAGCAGCAAATACTTCAAATATTAAAGATATTACTTCTAATGCTTGACTAATTCGAATAAAAAATTTCAATAAATAAATAAAATATATTAACGAAATAAAAAAATCTCTACTTGGGTTTCCTGCAGGAAATGTATAAGAGGTAATATTTGGTTTAAATGTATTATTTGCCCATTGATTACAAAGAGCTGATGTTATTGTATCACAAGCCCTTCAAAGATCAAAATAAAGTGGACGATCAACATAAGATAGCCATGAAATTCCTCCAAATGAAACTAAATTAACGAAAGGATAAAATATTGTTGATGTAATAATAATCAATAATAAAAATCGTTCAAGACTAGTTCTTGGAAATAAAATCATTTGTATTTATAATGTTGTATTTTGTCATTCGATTCGCGTACTGTTTTTCTTCCTTAATGTGAATCTTATAGGTAAGGACAAAAATATTTTTATAGTGATATTATATATATCATGCTTGTCTTAATAATTTTACAAGGAAAATGTTTTTTTTCTCTCAAACAAAAGCAAGAAATTTTCAATTTTTTCATTTAGCAAAATATTTAGATTATCACAATTGAATAAAAAGAAAAACTCTAATTGAAAGCTTGTTCCTATAGTACCTAACGACATTTAAAACTCGTTTCAAAGATCTGTAATGGAGAGGTTTTCGTAATGGGATATATCTGTAAAGGAGGCACGGGGGGCGGGGTGTCTGTAATTGGAATATGCGTTGCTCTGGTTTGCAATATGAAGGGAGGGTAGGGAGAGTCGCCAAAACTTGTACTTGAAACTTACACTCTCTATTTTCTTCGAAAATATATGTGAGTTCCACAATAATCGATCGAGTACGATGAAAAAGTGATTGTTCAAATAAGTTTCTCGTCGTGTCCTTCACCATAAATAAACATCAACAAGCTATACATTCAGTCTTGGTCTAATATCTCGTATATTAATTTTCTAAAGAATTTATTTTAAGTTGCTTTATTAAAAATGAGATGAACAGCTAAGATTGATCAAGCATGAGTTTTCTCATGCACCTGAATCACCAAATGAAAGTTTTTCTTTTCGTTCAAGTAGAGCTTTTTATCTCAGTAACTAAAGGACTCATCCTAAATTCTCTCTTAGTATAAAATAAAAGTAATTCATACTAGAAAAGTCACCTAAACTATGCTCATTAAAGTATGCCCAATTCTAAACTATTATAAAGTTAATGCTCGCTTATAAAAACTCACAAAAACAAAGTTTTTAAATAGAATAGAATATTTAGATGAATAATTAACGAATCTCCTTATTCATGATAAACAGTTTCATCAATGGACAATGCAACATTCTTTATATCTTTTTTGGCTGTAACACTGTTTATCGATCTATAGGCTTCATTTTGAAATGGTGCACAATCGAAGAAATACAAATGATTACATAAATAATGCCATGTGCTTATGAAGAAAACAAAATTAGAAATGATGCATATTGAACTTTATCCATCACACATTAAGTCCTTTTATATAAAGTAGAACATTTATCATTGTTACTATCATTCGTATTTTTATGCATGCCTTTATGGATATACTAATTCCTATCGTTATTGGTATAATATGTATATTAATAGGCATTATTATTGATATTATATTATCTGTAGAATTTTGAGTCTATGGAGTTTTTTATTTCAAACTGAATATCGGGAAAAAGTGATACTTGGTTTTTCCAAAACACGAGAGTTTAGGGGTCCTAGGAAAATGGAGCGTCTCTCTGAACAGAATAAGTGAGGAGAGGATCTTGCCATATAAAAATTTTAAATCGACTTCAATCCTAATCATAGGTAATGACACTTTTTCAGTTTATAGGGAGATCCCAGTGAGCGATGAAAACCCACCACATCGAAACACTCTATCGCTAATCTTATATAATTTCATATTGCTTTATTTTAATATGCACCTATATGCACTCTTTCTTTGAGATGGAGGGATTAGGGGGTCTAGGAAGTCTTTAGAATTATTCATAGGAATATATAGGTACGTGCTCAACTTTTCCTTTTGAATTCGGGTATGTATATGTATAATTATGTCAATAGTTCTAAAGAGCCACTAATCCTTCATTCCAAAAGAGGGGGAGAGGTATACACGTATATTTTCATATGAATCATTCTAAAGACTCCCTAGTCCCCCATCTGAAAAAAATGGGGGTATATATTTATGTATGGATATGAATAATTGTAAAGACCTTATAGACCTTCATTTCATTTCGAAATCGAGTGTTTTTTTTTTGTTGGAAACTTAGATTGATATTAAATACACCCCAATGGCATATGAATTTTATCGATATTACTGTATATAATTGTATTATTATTGGTATAGTGATTGTGATTATTGTAATTCTCGCTATAATTAAAGGTATTAATACTCATATTTTTATGGCTATAATTATTGATATAAGTGATGTAGTCCGAAATTTTTTAATTCATGGATTGTTTCCCAACTAGATTATTTTGAGAAGTGAGCAGCGTTGAATAATTAAAAATCACTTGGGCTGCAATTTTTTTAAAACTAATTGCTATCTCAAAAACGGATATTTATTGAAGAGAAGTTTGTTATTCGCAATTAAGAGCTGAACTCGTTTATTTCTTTTGTAATTTCACAAATGCAGTATTCAATATTCAAATGTTTTAATATATTATGTCAAAAAGCATTAATAAGCACACAGCAGTGGACCATTGGACCAGTCCATGGGGGAAGTTGTTCCACTTTATGGGGAAATACTTCACCTCACATAAAGTCACACATACCAAGGAGAAATGGAAAGAAAGAATAAAAAAAAATATATATATACATATAACCTATTATAAGATAGATATTGCACATATACTTGAATATAGAGAGAAACGGTTTTTCTTTCACCGGGAAATGGTTCCTATTCCAAAGCGAAATGTTCAGACCGTATACCTTTGTCCACAAAGTAATCGATCTCCTGGAAGAAGTATAATGCCAGCACTATTTTCTAGCACTAGTTCCATGTTTAAATTCAAGTAAATAAATTTTGTTTAGTTATTAATTTTCAGTTGGATAATCGAGAAGGACATTATTTATCGCATCTTCCTTCGAATGATAACGAATAATTATCCCTGTTCATTTACTCTGTCTAACTTAACATGCAACTTTCACGTAATCATTCTCAATTCAAACAGAAACAATACGATCGATTTTCCATTTAGTCGAACATTCTCTGCATAATTATTTTTTTATATTGTGATGAAATTCTGTTTTCTAGATCGAATATTTTAGTGTACCCTATGAATCTAACGAACGACTTCGCAGCAATCTCAAAGTGACCTGCGTGCTACAACTAAAAACAGAAATGTGCATTTCTCAAAATTCAGCACATTACATTCGGCATTTTACATAACACTACCAACTTGTTACATATGCCATCGTGTTGGCTATTATAAATCACGTCGATGCAACATGTCCTTACACATATGTCCACTGTCCTTCACAATTTCTGCCCCCATGCAACTTACACAATCTCATAGTGAAGCAACTCTTCTTCAAAAATTAGCATTTCTAATGGGAAAAAACCATATCTACTTAAAGCATCCGTTAATATGCTAAGAAACCCTTTCTCTCTATCTGCTTTCAACTTCTGCTTATGAATGGGGATATGGATGAAGCATTTCTCCTCAAAAATTAACCATTTCCAATAGAAAAAATCCATTTCTGGTAGAACCATCCCTTAAGATGAAAGTATTCTTGTGGAAAAAAGCGTTTCCTTCTGACTTTATGTGGTTTAAGCATTTCTGCTTGAAGTGGAACAGTTTCTCTTTGAGAGGGGGAAATGGTCCAGCCCTCGAAATGACGACACTTAAGTCTTTGCGCATTTATGTGTATCAACATTCTTTTGGCACTAGGCAATTGGCATTATTCCAAAAGAACCAAGGGTAATTCCTGTTGAATCTGTGGATATGGCTCAATGGCTGTACCCCTGGCTATGCCACTGTTTGATATAATTATAGAATTTTTTTTATTGGTATTATTATCACTCAACATATAGTTTTTAATATATTTAGCAAATGTCATTATTTCCTGATCTTTATTCTTCTACGGTTGCTTTTCAAACACAGACAGACATATTCATCGAAATATTGTCGGTGTGAACTGTTTTTTTTTTTGCTGTTCCNTCCTTCGAATGATAACGAATAATTACCCCTGTTCATTTACTCTGTCTAACTTAACATGCAACTTTCACGTAATCATTCTCAATTCAAACAGAAACAATACGATTGATTTTCCGTTTAGTCGAACATTCTCTGCATACTTATTTTTTTATCTTGTGATGAAATTCTGTTTTCTAGATCGAATATTTTAGTGTACCCTATGAATCCAACGAACGACTTTGCAGCAATCTCAAAGTGACCTGCATGCTACAACTAAAAACAGAAATGTGCATTTCTCAAAATTCAGCACATTACATTCGGTATTTTACATAACACTATCAACTTGATACACATGCCATCGTGTTGGCTATTATAAATCACATCGATGTAACATGTCCTTACACATATGTCCAGTGTCCTTCACAATTTCTACCACCATGCAACTTACATAATCTTATAGTGAAGCAACTCTTGTTCAAAAATTAGCATTTCTAATGGGAAAAAACCATATCTACTTAAAGCATCCGTTAATATGCGAAGAAACCCTTTCTCTCTATCTGCTTTCAACTTCTGCTTATGAATGGGGATATGGATGAAGCATTTCTCCTCAAAAATTAACCATTTCCAATAGAAAAAATCCATTTCTGGTAGAAACATCCCTTAAGATGAAAGTATTCTTGTGGAAAAAAGCGTTTCCTTCTGACTTTATGTGGTTTAAGCATTTCTGCTTGAAGTGGAACAGTTTCTCTTTGAGAGGAGGAAATGGTCCAGCCCTCGAAATGACGACACACTTAGGTCTTTGCGCAAAGAATGTGTATCAACATTCTTTTTGCACTAGGCAATTGGCATTATTCCAAAAGAACCAAGGGTAATTCCTGTTGAATCTGTGGATATGGCTCAATAGCTGTACCCCTGGCTATGCCACTGTTTGATATAATTATAGAATTTTTTTTATTGGTATTATTATTACTCAACATATAGTTTTTAATATATTTAGCAGATGTCGTGATTTCCTGATCTTTATTCTTCTACGGTTGCTTTTCAAACACAGACAGACATATTCATCGAAATATTGTCAGTGTGAACTGTTTTTTTTTCTTGCTGACGCTGGTCACTATTCTATTTTATCGGACATTAATTATGAAAATCACTGACTGAATCCAAAAAAAAACAGAATAGACACTATATAAAGAGAACGAAAGGAAATATAATTTGTCAGAATATAAATTAAGAAAAACGTTTTCGATGGCTATTCATCCATTGATTGAGAAGATTGGTAGACGTTCGTTTTGAGAGAATAGGTAGTCAAGTGATTTCGAGTGTCTCTTACGTATGGAATCATTCTTTTTTTTTCTATACTCAATATACAGTAGCTATATAGATATTTTTACGTTTATAGTTGTTACAAGTAACAAATGAATAGGAAAAGATACAGCACCAACTAAATGAAGCTCGCAATGAGCTGTTTAATTGTTCGGCTGTTGACAATCCTACATAGTAGTCAATTTTATTTAACAATGCCACCAGCTTGATGATGAAACTAGCTGCTATTGATATTGAGATGTGGCAATGGGAAGGTAAACTCATCTTGTTTTTCCTGAAATTTTTTATTTGTTTGTTTCTACATAATCATGTGAATGTGGATCACAGCACATTTTCGTATCAAAAACAAATTATTCTTTTGTTAGAAAAAGATGTCTTTTATATATTTAGTCTTTAAAAAATAAAAAGAATAATACTAATTATTTTATTTTTATATTTATTATTATTTAATAAAGCAATATATTATTGATTATTCGAATATCATATAATTGAACATGGGCAAATTTTTAGTCAGTATATGTACAGTTTAATCGTCGCATAACATTCAGTAAACGTATTGTGCACATCAATAAAAATGTCGATGATGGCGTGAGTTTGTTTCAACTGCGCATATACCGAAGAAATCTTTTTAATGAATATTCTTTCTCGTGTTAAATTATTTGGTGAAATAATATTTTGAATGGCTCATCATCAATTGAGTTTATTGAAATAAATTATAAAACAAAATTTTTATTCTTCTTAAATTTCAAGGATAAAGTGGAAATAAAATAAAAATCTTTTGATTATATTATTAAATAAATTTACTATGTTTTTATAATATATTATCAGCAAATGAATATAAAAATTAATTTATCATATATTCACTAGAGAGAATCGATATTTGAAGAAAAAATTTAGTAAGCATTAGATAAACAGCAACATAAACGAAACATTTTCACTCTAGAATATAGGTTTACATAAAAGTTGCTTCTAATAAGAAGTGTCTCATTTCATTGAAAAATAAATTTTTGAATTATTTTATATCGAAATAAATGAATAAGATCGATTATGTTCGAAACGATTAATAAAGTGTTTCACTGATGTTGACTCTAAAAGAGAATAAATCAATAAAAAATTTTGTATTGATTTTCTTTTATTAAATTTAATGTTAATGATGGTGCAGCTACATACGATGAGAATTTTAATTTTAATTTTCCTTTACATATATACTATTCCTTTCAGAAGTATTTTAGTTAGTTGAAGAATTACCTGGCATTTTCGAAAAGAAAATGTGGTCGAAATACGCAACATCTTTCAAAAGCTTTATATTTTGTTCCAGACTGGACCGATGAGTGTCTTTCGTAGTATCGAATCAGTGCGGTCTAATTCATGATTTTTAATCCAAAAAAGAAAGCCGGTTTATTAAAATCTCTGTTATATAATATTAAAGTCGCTCAACTAAAGTCAAATTCTATGAGAAAACGAAACATTGAAAATAGTTCTGTAAATAAAATATTTATTGCAAAGAAAACGATACAAATATTTGTCATTATTCTGGTAGTCAATGATGAATCATCAAAATATTCAAAATCTTTTACTTAATAACTTAGATAGATTTTCAAATAAACTTAATTTGATTACTTATTTCTTTTTATTTAGTTTATATGACCAAAAAAAAAAGTGTTATACAAGGAATTCATTGAAATAGTCATATACATTCATTTATCTGATAAAATTCTCTTGTTTCTTTTGACATTTCACAATTGATTATATGATTTAATAACTTGTTCAATTTGTACAAAACTGTTGAGAAATTCTTGTTCATCAATATCATATTTAAAATAATGATGAAGATAAGCTTTTTGTCCGAATAATTGCCATGACTTATTTACTATTCTATCAAGTGCTGATACAGGTGTTTGACAATTACTAATCAATGATAAATATTTTTCATAATTTAAATAAGATTTATCACGATAATTAAATAAATAATAATAATCAGATGATGAAATAAATGACGAATAAAATGTTTCATGATTAAAAAATTGTTTTAAATCTTTATCAATATCTTCTTTATCATAAGAACGTGCTAAAAATAAATTTCCTATAGATTTTGTTCGTGTTTGATTTGGTTTTAAAGACCAATTAAGTCCTTCGTCTAAATAAGAATTATTAATATACATTTGTGATAAACTTTTTATTAATGACGACCATTTATATGTACTAAAATCTAATGCTTGATCACTTAATTGTGGTACACAACGAAGTGTTAATAATTTATAAAATGAATGTGGTAAAATTGATTCTAATAAATAATTTATTTCACATATTGATTGAGGTTTATTTGAAATAGGTTGAAGAAAACTACATAAATGTCGAGTTAAAATATTATTCATATCATGAATATTTGTTGAACGATCAATACCAGAATATGAAACAAGTTTTTTTGCATATTGTTGAAGAATATCATTTTCAAAAACAAATAATGCATCAGCAGAATGATAAAGATGTGAAAGTGTTAATAATGAATTATAATTTTGTACTACAACTTCACCACTTGTATATGGAACAACAATTGTTGTTAATAAAAATGAACGTGGTAATTCATCACGAACACATTCAACAACATAAGCACCAAGACCAGAACCTAAATCAAAGATTATTTTAATAGAATATTATTTTTTTTCTTACCTGTGCCACCAGCTAAAGAAAGTATTGGTAAAATTGTATCAACTCGATCTGCATGTTCTAATTGCCATCGAAGACTATTTAATATATTTTCTTCAGCTAATGAACCATTTCGATAACCGCATGCCCAATTATTGCCGGATCCGAGACGACCTTTTTTTTTTCAAATTATCGATAAACTATAAGATATGAATTTGAATTATGCTTTCAAAAATATCTCAGATATATATATATATATATAAATTTTTAGTTAGTATGAAAAGTTGTGGGAGTTTAGTATCAAACTCAGATAAAATTTTTGATGTTTTTTTATTCTTTTGTATTTTTTTATGCAATACAATGTATTTATTATGAATTATGGCGATGGTCATATAGAGACAAAGACCTGTACAGTTAAACCTATTTTCAAAGACGATAGATATTAATAAATGGAAGTGGTGTCTGATTTTATGTGTATTGGGACACTTGTCTTATTTTGATATTCTTTTATTACTATGAAGTATTTCTTATACTTTTCTTGTTTGAATATTTACTTATACATAATAGCTATCGTTTGCCATAATGATCTGATGAACTGTTCTTATTCAGGTAGTTATAAAACAAAAGTCTCATTGATTTACAAATCGAATGTTCACTAACAACCGTGCTGAGTATGATGAGTCTTAGTTGAGATCACCGGAAAAAGAAATCTACTTACTCATAGATATTCTAGACAATCTTATCAATGATGATTTTTTTGTCAAAGGAACCTATACATCATATTAAGCATGTAAAGAATATCTGAGAAGCTGGCAAAAACGAAGAAGATGAAAATGTTGATATTAATAAAAAATAAAAACTAATATCAATTCGATATTATAATGATAAGAATAAATAAACTGAAGCAATTTTCTAATATAAAAACAGATAAATATAGTTTTCTAATTAAGAAAAATCATTAATTTTGAGATTTATGCTAGATTTTTAATTGATATAATCATATTTCTAAAATTTGTTGAAAAGCAATTTTTTGTCTTAAAGGATTTCTTATTTTCTAATTTTCAAACAAAATAACAATTACATCTTGGAAATAAAATCCTTGTTTTTTTTAGATAATTACACGTTGACTGATGAAAGAACACCTCATGTGTTTCTTCACTTTTGAACTGGTATTTTTAGCATATGGAGTAAGAACTTCTAAACTACAATAATTCTCACAGATATTGAGCTTCTGGTGCTTTGTGGTCAAAATACCGAGCTGTTAGTGAATTTTCTTTGTAGACAGTGTGAGTTTACAGAAAAAGTGATATTTTCGATGTTCGACTTGAAACTTTACATTTAGAATAGCTTATATAATAGCTTTCACCAGTGACGTATCCAGGATTTTTCAGTATGCTGAATCTTGACTTTTGAGCATGGGACCCAAATGAAACTCATAGAGGGTGATGTTGAGTCCAAATGATGAAATTTTATCAAAAAAAATTTGCATTCGGAGTTTGCGAAAAAAATTAGCATTTTCCTGATCCCCCCCATAGGATTTTTTACTGTTAGTATTATCTTGGATTTTAGAATCTCATAGGAAGCTATACCGAATTTCATCGACAGATTTTAAATTTGGTCTAAAAATGTCCAACCGTTCAAGAGTTATGATGTTTTGAAATTTCGAAACAATTGTTTCCATATGTGGCAAATATTCAAAAAGTTATAACTCTTGGACGATTACATATTTTTAGACGAAATTTGAAATTCGTCGATGAAATTCGGTATAGCTTCCTATGAAATTCTAAAAATTAAGATGCTACTAACAGCAAAAAATCCTAGGAGGGAGATCAGGAAAATGCAAATTTTTTTCGCAAATTCCGAGTGCAAATTTTTTTTGATAAAATTTCATCATTTGAACCCAGCATCATCCTCCATGATTTTCATCTGGGTCCCACACTCGGAAGTCGAGATTCAGCATACTGAAATATCCTGGATACGTCACTGGTTTTCACAATATTCGTGCTTCAAATGATATCTGTTGTCAGCAGATATCGATAGATGAACAACTTAAATATCTTGTAAATACAATATCCAAAAAAAAATCCTTAAAATTGTAAAATAAACTATTCAAACTGAACAAATTTCATTTGTACACAGTTCCATGTCGGACTTTGAAAATATAGTTTTCTCATAAAGTCATAGCTGTACAGAAAATAACTTACTAACAATTCGATATTTGAACCAAAATGTATCAGAAATCTCAATCCTCCTAGGATAATGCTAGTTTAGAGATTCTCTCTATGTTATCATAATATGGCGTCAAAAGTAACAGATCACATTAGATAGTTTTTTTTTGTGTATTAAAATGAATGAATTTTTGCTTCCGATAAATCCAAATAATCTCATCTTTTCTATCGAACTTCTACCTTCAATAACACATTTTTTTTCATAAGACCAATGACGTTTTGATTGAGATTTTTCATCCATTAGTTGCTCAATAACTTTAAGTTCAGTATCAATTGCAAGCGCTCGTGCAGTAAGTTTATTTTCATATTGAATAAAAAATCGATCAAGTGAATGATGAATATAATCATTTATTGGTGAATGATCTGTTATTGATAATTTTGTTTGATTTGAATGTGTAAGATTATCTTCAATTAATGTATCGAATACACGTTGACCAACTTGATTTCCACATTGACCAAGTTGAAGAATAATACATGACATCTGAAACAAATAACAAGAACAAGAAAGAAAAATCATTTATTTTCTTTTATTATTTTTCTTTTATTTTTAATCATCCATGTGAAATTCAGCTAAAAAATTTTTTCCCTCAGCCTTTTCAGCTAAATAACGTTCGTAAACTTTTGGAATCTTTTTAAATTTGTCGATTTTTCTTTCAAGTTGTCGTGCTGTTAATTGATAATCATTGTGATGATCACGAGCCATTGCTTCATAATTTGTACCATGTTTTTCAATCATATAAATACAAAATCTAGATAAATAAGAATGAAAAAAAAAAAAAAAAATAATGAATTAATTTTTAATAAAACATACAATCGATCTGGATCAGAAATTCTCATTGATTTAACACGTTCTGTATTTGCATCTTTTTCAAGTTCATCTCGAATATGAACTTTAGTTGGTCGACGTTTTTTCTTTTGTTTTGTTGAATCAATCATTGGTAAAGATGGACTATCGTTATCATCATCATCAGAATTTTCTTCTTTTTGTTTTATATATTTTTCAAGAATTTTTGGATTAATTAAATCTTTTGTTTTTGGTATCGGAAACGATTTTTTAATATCATGAGCAAGTGCGAATTCATGATAATTTGTTGGTACAGAAAGTTTTGATTCCCAATTTGAACGTATCAATGGACAATGACGTACATGTACTTCACGTTTACGTTTTTCTTTTAACCATAATCGTTTACGATTGATTTCATGAAGATAAACTTTACCACGTTTACGACGACGTGTTTGTACCATTATGACTGATCTAAAATATTACCAAAAAAAAAATGAAAATATTCATAAATAAACTAAAATTCAATTGAATGATCTATCATGTACACATTACATTATTATTATTATACATTCGTTTCTTATCTGATTCGTTAACATGAAAATAAGATAAACAATAGATGGCTCTGTCCAACAACAACTCTAATGGAAGTAGTATACGAAAATTTCCTTACGATTGCTTGGAAAACAATATTATCTATTGTTTCAATTAAGTAAATTCATCACTTTATTTAAAAAAAAAAAGATTCTTATACAAGAAAAATCATATATTGTTTTTTTTTGTGAACAATGATTAATATGACACTTTTTCCAAACTACTTACGAGGGAACTACCCGAGGTGCTAACAAGCTTTTGAGCTGAAATTTTGTCCACAAGTAGGGAATGCATAGACTAGAAAACGCCTAAGAGGATATGTGTCCAAGTTGAGATTTGGCTGAGATATCGGCTTTTTACTATAGTTTTTCTATGGGACTCCATTTTTTCCATTAAGTCAAAGTTTCGAATTTTGACGTGAAACTTTGCCTATATCAAGACCTCGAGTAGAGTAGCTCATCTACAAAGTTTCAGAATTTTTGGACTAAGCATTCTCGAGATATGAGTCTGTTAGCATAAACACAGTTTTTTACGGATATTTTAGATACATGAGTATTTTGAAAACGTTATATCTCGGAAATGCTTATAGTCCGAAAATTCTGAAACTTTGTAGATGAGCTAATCTAGTTGAGGTCTTAATATGGGCAAAGTTTCACGTCAAAACTTGAAACTTTGATTTAATGGGAAAAATGGGGTCCCATAGAAAAACTATAGTAAAAAGCCGATATCTCAGCTAAATCTCAACTTGGGCACATATCCTCTTAGACTTTTTCTAGTCTATGCATTCCCTACTTGTGGACAAAGTTTCAGCTCAAAAGCTTGTTAGCACCTCGGGTAGTTTCCTCGTTAGATCATACCTAAAATAGTGTGGTGGAAGTACTTTAAATTCTTTATAAAAAGGTTTAAGAAACCTTTTTTCCAAATTATCTGATAGACAAAAGAAAGCTGCATTTTTCTATGCTATTGGATCATACTTAAACTAATATCATAATGATAAACTTTTGATAAGACATATTTTACTATGATACGTGCCTGGAGTATACTAGTGCCTATTCAGTGAATATTTTATTTAGATAAGTTTTGCTACAAACAAGATAGAGAAGTGCGAGTTTCATCGTTCGAAAGAGGAGATCAAGATGCATCAAGTCGCATATTATAGATTTTCTTCACATGACTTTTTTAAAGGTTTTCAATCAACACTTTTGAAAACAAACCTAATTGTGAGGTGTTTACAATGAATTCTCAATTGTCAGGTGTGTATTGAAAGTGTCGATAGAAGACCTACAAAACTGTAAAAGGTTCAGAGATTTAGAATTAATCATTCAGAAGTCATAAGTTTTCTAGTTGAAGTTTTAAATGATTTTTCTAACAATTTCTGTAAAAGAACTTTTTACTGTTTCCTTTTTGAGAAGGAATCATTTTCCCCACACTTAGAAAACTGATTAAACAAACAGCAGAGCATATACTAGAAAAATATATAATACATGATTCGATGCATCTTGATCTTCTCTTTCGAACGATGAAAACTGCACTTCTCTATCATAATATTTAGAAAGAAAGTTTCTTAAACTTTTTTTTATAAAGAATTAAAGCGCCTCTGCTACTATTTTTGGTATGACCTAAGTAGTCTGTTTTCATTGATTAATATAACAGGAGAGCGTCGTGGCGATTTCGACCAAAATAGACTAGTACTACCGAACAATGAGAAACTTACCCATAATAAACTTCGTGTGCCATCCAGATGAGTCTGATCTTATAGTTTATTTGGAGATTGACTTTTGCAGCACATTAAAACTGAAGCAAGAGTACTTCAAATTTAGGGTCTTTATATGTAACAGAGTTACATGACAATAAAATCTTTCTAGCTGCTCACGACTTCAATCAAAAAGCTTCATTTTTAATAGCATGAATAGATTCTCATGAGGTGTATCGAATGGCGTTTGAATTAACTTTCTAGCTTTCATAGTTTCGTAGATAATTAAGAAAACATGTGTTAATAATAGAACTGCGTTACATTTGAACAAGTCGATTTTTTTGGTGATCAGCTCATCACCCTCTATAAAACTCTGCATAAATTAATTAAAAATAGAATTCTGCATTTATTCCATCTTAATTGTTATTGATCCACGACGTCTGATTTGTTCAGGTTATTGATTAATATAAAACTTGTCTAGTTGTTGAGTAAATGTGAAAATACTACCATTACTACTTGTCAATTGATTACAAGTAATTCAGTTTGCCTTTCTTGATTTCTTGTTCGTGTCGATTCTAAATCAACAAAGCATTGGTTAGTTTTTAAAACAAGATTTGAATCAAAGTGTTTTTGAACCAAAATAATAATCCTATTCGTTAGCATAGAAACAAAATGCTGTCGACTTAAAGAATTTGTCTTATTCATTATACTTAATCATACATATTATTTATAGTTTTAACAATGTTCAGCATATAAAGTGACAGTATGAATTCTATTAATCCCCATAGATAAAATTAGATTTTGAGTAATCTATGGCTTGTATTTCTTTAGCAGACTTTCGACTATTGTATAGTCGAAATAAAGAAAAGAAAACTATTTTATTGATTTTGAAAACAATCACAACTAAAAAAAAAACATTACCAATTATTATCGAAAACATCAATTATAATCAAGATAATATATTACGAATATGTATTGTAAATATGATATTACATAAAGATGATGTGTAGTATAACTAGTCGTTATGTGTTTCGATGATAGTTCTTAGTAAACTTAGTTCGATTTATAGATTTATTGTCCGTAGTCTAAAAGACGCAAATCTGTATCTGTTTATTATTGCATGTATATATTATCGTTGAATTACCTTGCTATTCGTAGGTCATTTTTCTGGAATAATATGTTTTGGTTTGTGGTTTTTGATAAAAATTTTTTTTCATGAATAATTCTTGTTCTATTGACGTATTATATTGAATACAAATACTCATTAATTAAAATCCCTTTAACTTATCGTTAAAGGTTCGTCGATTTATGATTTATTTTTTATACGAACTCTAGTGCTCTTTATGCATAATATTTTCAATAGATAACTAAAATAAGAGAATAAATGAGAATTCAATAGGAAAAAATATCAAACTTAAAATATGTTTGTAGCTACTGGTTCACGTGCATTGATTGTATTCACTATATCACATATTAAAATATATATAAAAATCGGCTCCGAAATGAAATAAAAGTCTACAATTATCATCTACTCAAAATAATTGGATCAATTTTTAGTTTTATGATTGAAAAAAATTCATGTTTTTTGCAAAACTTTCTAATCTCTTCTTCATATAGTCTATAGACTGTTCAAGTTGAGTATTCAATGAAAATATGATGTTTCGAGATTTCTTAACGAAGCTGTTGCCTTTAAAAAAAAACATCCTAGTAACACTTGTCACTATTCTTATTCCTATTCATTCAATAGTTCGAATACTGTAAAACTTCATATCTTCGATGTCATTCTCATTATTAATATTTTTCTCTTCTTCACTCTTGAAATCTTATGCCTTCAAAGACATTTTAGTTCATTGGGTAGAGCAATTGTGTCTAGAAAAAAGTCAACAATCAACGTCAATAAAACAAAAAAGTCAAAACAATCTTTTGTATAAGTACACAATATTACAATACATGATTTTTGCTTATGTCATTAACGTTACGTAGTAATGAGCGTTACAACACATAATCCTTCAGTCATGGCCAGAAAAACAAAACGAATGAAAAATACTTGTTTATATGCTATGTCAATAAGGCACAAGGATTGATTTTCTATTCCATAAAGATTTTAAACATTAATCAAACTATTCATCATTATATATTATTAAGTTTCTGACTAATTTTCAGTTAATGCTCGCATAAAAATTTTCACATATCATGAATCATATATGAATATTACTTGTTTCAATCAGTTGTTCTTTAACATCAGTTGATGATGTATTATCAGCTAAATCACAAATATTTACATAATTAAGAAATACAATTAGAAAAATAAACAAAAATGAGATTTTCATCTCTCTATACATATGACTCAAAATTGATTCTTCATTAAGATTTATATATTTTTATCTTGAAAGATGCACTATACCAAATATAATTCTATTCTCAACTTCGTTGCACATCCAAAACAGGTATTTGAATAAGATTTTGAATCATTGTAGTTAAAGTACAGACGAATAACTATTCAATAATGAATATAAATAGATCGTTTTATTTTTATGATAACATGATTTAAACTGGTCATTTTTCCTAAACATTTTACTTTTATATTCATTTTATTTTTCTCTTGCTAAGCATTTATTAAATCTCATCGGTTTCATAAACAAACACAAATAATACGACAGCATAACATTTGTTTATGAACTATTAATAGTTTAGCCTTTTGCTATAGAGCAACATAACAGTTATCAGTACATGCAAATGCGAAAACAAATTTTGGATCAGTTGTAGAGATATTTTTTCTCATCCATAGATAAGATATTTCTTGTATAAAGAGATAACTAGTATTTACTAATCTATTCTGTACAGTCTGAGTATATTTATATCGGAAAAATCCATACTAATTACTTGTATACTGTGTCAAATAGAGACAAAACAGTAGAAAAAGAAACTACGAACTAGGTTGTTATTACGATTGTTATTATAATACACAAAATATCACATGATGTTTATATTGATTTTATTTTTATTTATTCATTCAATATCTGGTTTGTCTTATACAGTAAAAATGAGTGATGTTGATCTTAATTGTCGTGAAGAAAACACAAAATTATCTTCATTTCCTATTGAAATTTTATCATTTAATATTTGGAATAATCAACTATCTATTCCTGGCACACTTGATTTTTTAATGTCATTTAATGTAACAAAAAAACTTTCAAATGATATAGAATTTTCAACAAAAATTCAACGAAAATTAGGTCCTAATTGGATTCATGTTCCATGTTTAGCAGGTATTGGTGGTTGTGAAAAGCAATCATTATGTAGTCTTATTCAAAAAGCATGTAAAACCAACAGTTTTATTCAATCGAATAGTAAAAATAGTAAAAACCCATGTTCCTGCGATCTTGACATTGGCATATATACTATTGAACATGTTCCTATTAATATAAAACGTAAAAAAAGTGCTAAACTCGCTCAACCAATTACACCAGGACAATACCGTCTTCAAGTGATGTTTCTAAAAAGTAAACCAAATACCATAATTGGCTGCGTGATTGGTTATTTAACATTACTTAAATCAAACAAATTTGTTTGAAAAACTATAAACAAAAGTATTTAACTTGATTCATGTGTGTTCTAGTATATATATATTGCTATTGATTTTTGTTTCTTATGTTTCAAATATAATAAAAACGACTACATTTTTTTTACGAAAAACAAATATTTAAGGAGACCTTCCCTCTTTTTTGAGACTCTTGTAAAAAAAATGCATCAGAAAATTTTTGAAACTTTCAAAATAGATTGGTTGCAATACGACAAACAAAAGTTGTCATAAACTCAAAATCTCTATTCCTTCAAGCATATATCAAGATTGCAAGAGCTGAAAGCTACTCATATCTTCGCCTAATTGTCGTACTCTCTAAGCTGCAATACATTTAATAGAGTTGGATTTTTTTCCCGATATTAGATACTGTTCGGAGTGCCTAAGTTGTTTTTGTGTGAATCCTGCCAAAAACTAGCAGTACATTATCTATTGAAAGAAAAAGAGTAGACATCCTCAGTACTTTTCAGTACAAGTAGAAACAAGTTTTAGCTCGATCAGATGTGTTTTGCTTGAGAAAATCTAGATGACTCTCAATGTTATTTGTCAAAAAAAGTTATTTTGCAAAAACAGCAAAATAATGTGCAAATTTTTATGTTTTTCAACAAAAATTTTCCAATTTTTTCGGTTTTTCTATGTCTAAAGTTACATATTAATTTTAAAAATATGTCCAGTAGATAGGAGAATACTTCAAAGCGCATATAGTACAGAAAAACTAACAAAAATAAATATTTAAAAATTATGGGTCGGGAACGGGAGAGTCGCCTTAAAGTTATCCACTCTAAAATCGACTGTGATCTTGATACATTCAGATTGAATGAAATTTCCAGAATATGGTAAGACGGCAGTAGAAAGACTATGGTAACATTTTCCATTCGATATCATGATGTTTTCAAAAAGTATTCATCAAACTAGGCTCAAGAATCTCTACGAGTTTTCTCTTAACCTTCGTTTAAAAAGAATTAACAAAATATATCTGTTGAATTTTCGTCCATATTGTGGTTACAGGAGAGAATCAAAGGTAGTCAGCTACAATGACAAACTTATGTAATTCCTCAATATATGTATATTCCGATTTCTGATTCTAAGTTAATGTTGATTGATTGACAATGAATTTTTGATGGAGACCAAAATGAGGTTGATACCAAAATGTTTCATGTAGATCACTTTTGTAGGTTTATTAAAGCTATCTGAATTCAAATTTTAAGAAAATCTTTGTATACATCAGTTTATAAGGCAAAATTTGTTCTAAAAAAATTTGCAATGGTCTTCTCTTGTTTACATATTTTTACAGATAATTGGTGTGTGTTGAATTTTAATATCGAACTTCGAAAAGAAAGTCGATCTTTTTCTTGAAAAATGTTGTCTCACTTTAAGAGTCACTGTTTGACAATGAACTAACTTTAAATCAGAAAAAGAAATTTGAAAATATATTTCAAATGAGTATGAAATTCTCGTTCTAGCTGACTAGTTTTTAATATTCTTCTATCACTAATAAGTAGATAGAAATTGAACAGACACATATGGTGAAAAGACTAGTTATACTTAGTTTACTTTTGATGTTGATCAACAAATTCAACATCCTCTTTGAATGGTAAAAACAGAAGGTCGCGTCTCTTCTCAAAGTAATTTTCTATATGATAAATTAAAAATTAACTAACAAAAGAAATCAAGGTCTGTCATGGTCTGTAAATAAACATGCTCTTTCAAATAAAATCAAGAGACTAATTAACTTCAATGAAACTCATTCAAGGATTCTAGATTGTGCACTAAAAATAACCGTGAATTGAGAAAAATGAAAAAGACGTATCTTTAAAATTTGCAGCTGAATCTTTCACTTAGATGGAAAATATATCAATTTGTTTTAATAGAGATGAGAAAGAGCGTTCAGAAACTGCCATATAAATAATGGATTGACTAATAAACACATTGATTATGAAATTCACGCCTTACATCATATAGACTTCGCAATACACGATAAACTGTATTGAGGATAAAAACATAGACATTGTTCTATTAAACTACGTGCTTATGTGAAAGTGACATATTTCGACAATGATTAATCTTTTTTAAGCGTAGAAACTCTAGTGAAATTCCTCAGTAGAGTATATTTTATTGATTCATAGTAATAAAAGTTTAAACAGCCATAAATGACGTATCAACAATGAATGAAATTGTATTTTTTTTTTAACATTGAAAAGCATTAAGCAAGAATTTTAGAGATAGGACATAGAATATCAGATGAAGTTTATGTAATTATTGTAAGTCAACAGCATTTCTAACTGCAACGCATTTTTCCCAATAAAATCATCATGTACATTAAATTTTCTGTGTGAAATCAATTTTTAAAACTTAGTTTTATTTAGTTTAGTTTCATTTGAATAGTCAATGAATGAATAATCACATGGCTCCTGCATAAGGCAAATGTTGTCTTTGTGCTTGAGATAGTAGTGCAGCAAACGATCTCGGAGCAGGTGCTCTACTAGGATTAGGAGTTCCTGGTGGTAAACCTCCCGATGGATATGGGAAACCAGGAGTTGGCATACGATTCCAAGGATTATTGGCCATTGATGGTGATGCAAGACTAGCACGGCTCCAAGCGTTTTGTACGGCTGGATTCGGTCGTGGTGGCGGTTGAATAACATTACCAGGTGATTGTTGCATAAGATTGAACGCTCGTGCAATAGAATTTGCTTGTTGTTGACTTGCATTATTTGCATTTTGCCAAGCATTAGTAACAGCAGTTTGCCCATATGGTGACATTGGTGGAGATGCATTTCGCATGGCTTCCCAAGCATTCATAGCTGCAGGATTAGGTGATGAAGGTGCATTTCGCATTGCTTGCCAAGCATTCATAGTTGCAGGATTAGGTGACGGAGGTGCATTTCGCATGGCTTCCCAAGCATTCATAGTTGCAGGATTAGGTGACGGAGGTGCATTTCGCATTGCTTGCCAAGCATTCATAGTTGCAGGATTAGGTGATGGAGGTGCATTTCGCATTGCTTGCCAAGCATTCATAGTTGCAGGATTAGGTGATGGAGGTGCATTTCGCATTGCTTGCCAAGCATTCATAGTTGCAGGATTAGGTGACGGAGGTGCATTTCGCATTGATTGCCAAACTTTATTCATATTAGCATTGCTCGATGGAGGAGGAGTATTTTGCATGGCTCGCCAGATTCTATCCATATTAGCATTACTTGATGGAGGAGGAGGAGGAGGAGTACTTCGCATTGATTGCCAAACTTTATTCATATTAGCATTACTTGATGGAGGAGGAGTATAATTCCGCATTGCTTCCCATTGCCGAGCAATATTCGGATCTGAAGAAGATCGTGGTAAACGTTCTGGTACTGTTCTTGCTTTATTCCATACGTTGCTTAATACATCATGAATAGCAGTTGGAGATTTATCTGGACGATCGGGCAAAGAATCAGGATCATACGAACGATGACGTGGTGGACGTCTTCTGTAATAATGATCATCCTCAGAATCTGAGACTTCATGACAAACAAGTCGTCGACGACGACGACGTGAAGGAGATAAAATAGTAACTTCCATTGGATCACATACATCTTTTTAAATACTCAGTATACTATTCATTAATATTTTAATATTAAGAGAATGCCACTTACTTCGGTAACAGTTATCGAGAGAACCAGTTCGTTGTATTGTATTCACGTTAACACCAAGCTCTTGTAAAATTGTTTCAATAGGCATATTTTCTATTGAGAAATCAGTACTTTTATTACCAATTGTTATACTTTCAGAATAAGAAGCAAACCTGGTGCTTGATAGACAAGTGTCTCTCTGTTGCATACATTCGAATTTATTTGTGGAACACAGTTTAAAGTAATTGTCGGAGGCTGATAGCAGCATTGATCACCTATTGGTGGGTTAATACTCTGTTGAATACGAATTTATTCTCATTCAATTAATACATAAAATTATACATACCGATAATAACGTATTTATATTATCATTAAAAAGTGGTGTTGAACATGGTTGATAGCCACTATAGGGAAATTCATAGACTGGATTACATTCCATTGCTGTCAGATAGTCCATGATGACGTTGAATATTCTTCACCTATTCCTATTGAAGAAAAGCGAACGAATGATATAGAACATACGAATACAGAAGAACCTTGCATTTACGTCTATCTCAATTCGACCATGATTTGTGTAACACGAGGCCAACTTACTTGAAAGTTACAAGGTTTTATTTAGATAAAATTGACGAGAGTCATCTTTATTTTAACCGATTAATTGAGCAATGACAAAAAATATTCTTTCGAAAAATGAATGATTATCTTTCTCAATTAATGCTTGCTATTTTATCGAATATACAAAAAAAAAAGTAATCAATCAATATGGTTCATTATTTTGTCATGCGTTCCACTTGAATAAATATTAGCAAAACGAATAAGAGTATGAAACAGCAAATGAACCTTGTTCTCTCGTTTATCACCAGATGAGAAAAAAAGAAGAACAAAAAATAAAATAAATAAGAACAGAACTAGGAATGTAAATTAATTATAAAAAAAAAAAAAAAAGAAAAAAAAGTATTGCTTTTTGTTTGTTTTGATTTAAATACATTCATTAATCACTGTTGAATGAAGTCAATTAAAAAGATCATCAAGTTCAGAAGATGCACTTTTTGAATGTGTTATATTCGATGATGTAGTAGAACCTTTGATTACAGTTGAGCCTGGTGGAGGTGGTGGTTGAAATAAAGCTGTATTATTTTTTGTTCCTGAATTAAAAAAAGGCGATGGCATTGATGATTTTGTAGTCATTGAATTCATTGGTCTTGTTGTTGAAGTTGTTTGTGATCGAGAAGCAAGTGAATTAATATTATTCAAAAGACTTGATGTTAAGTCAGTAGAATTTGACGATGGAGAAAAATTTAATGGCGGCCGTATTTGTTGTTGTTGTTGTATTGGTGGTGATGATGTCATAGTTGGACGTACAAGTGATGGCATTGTTTGAGAAGTAGACATACTATAAAATGATTGTGTTGGTGGATTTGGATCAAATAAAGTGCTTGTTAACTCTTTGAAATATGCTGAAGATGAATTTGATGTTGTTGTTGATGATAATGTTGGTGTCATTGCCATTAGTGGAACATTTGAATTTGTACTTGTCAATGATGATAGTGGTGTTTTACGTTCAGGTATTAGTTCACCTTGAGATTTCATACGTTGTGTTTGTTCAGTTTGACGCATAATACGTTCTTTTTCTTCTAATGTTAGTGTCTAAAATATATTTATTTATTTTCATAAAAAAACAATATTAAAAAATGTTTAAAAAAAAAATTTACTTTTTTTGCTATTGAACTTTCTGTTGAATTTGATTGATTTGTTAATGAAGGTGATATTTGTTGTGATTTTTTATTATCATGAGATTGATTATTATCAAATATTGATGACATACTTTTATTTTGTGCTACTTCAGAATTAAATCCTTGACCAATCATAAATTGATCAATCTATAGAAGAAGAAAAAAAATACATATACAAAATATTTATTTATTCAAATATTTTATAATTTACGATTGATGATGAATTTTGATCAAAATGAAAATCAGTTGTAGCTGTTGGACCAATTGGTACAATTGGTGAACTAAGAAAAAAAAAATTTAATAAAATACGATGAAAAATTTAATTTAATTGAATATTTTATTTGTTTTTACTTTGCTACTTGTTGTGAAAGTTGTTCAAGTTTTTTACGTTGTTCAATTTCAACTGTTTGTAACATATCTTTAATCGTTGACATATATGCATTAAACTATAAACAATGAAATATTTTATTTTCAATATTAAAACTAAATTTACTTGATTAAGATTAAGACTTGTTTCAATTGATAGAGGTACTAAAAATGGTATAATCTTTGTTGCAATTATTTCACGTGGTAAACCACCAGCTTTTGTTGATGACATAGCAACTTTGATTATACCTAATATTGCCATAAGTACAGCTGGTTCACGTGATGGAATGGATTGAAGAAGTGGTAAAACTTCATCAATAATAATCCATTTATCTAATGATTCAACTAATTTTCCCAGACATAATAAACAATTAACACGAACCTTAAATAAAATTAAAATAAGAAATAAAATATATTCAATACTACTAATGCTACTACTTACTTACACTTAATGTTATTGTTTCAAAACAGATCTTTTTAATACGTGGTAATATAGCATATTTCATTGCTTGTAAATCAATGAGATGTGCAAATGATGGTATTATTGCTAAACAAAGTTCCTAGAAAGAATTCATAAAAATCAAAAAATAAATTCTTATTTCTATTCTTTTTTTTTCCTTCATACTTGAACTTGTGATGATTCAGCATCTAATGCATTATAAACAACAGGTAAAATATATTGTTTAATATCTTCCGGTGGAGTTTTTGTTAACATTAATTTCATATTACGCATTAAAATTAAAAGAGTCTAAAGATAAAATTCATAAAATAAAAAACGTTAATGTGTAAATTGATTTACCTGCATAATGGAACTTGATGCTCCACTTCCCTAGAACGAAGAAAAATAATATAATTGAATGATTTTTAAATAAGCTTTTACTTACTTGAGGAGGTTTTTGTATTTTAAAAACTTGTTTGAGCTTAGGAAATATATATTTTCGATATTCATCATTACTTGCTTTTTCCTAAGAAACAAACATAAATAAATAAACACAAATGAACTTTTGCTGAATGATCGTCTACGATGAATGTTCACTTCATGAGCTATGTTGATAAGAAAACAAGTTCCTGCCCATGGATTGTTTCACAGGGGATCCAACGTTTTTAGTGCATTTCAACTATAGGGCCCTAAATTTACAGGCAAGGTCATGTGTTCGAACTTCGACTTGAAACTTTGTCTATATAAAGGGAACTTTCAAAAAATAGATATTGTAAATACTAACTATAGAATAGAACTTAAGCCGTAAAAGTTCTGTAACTCGGACAGACTTAGTCTAAAAATTATAAAACTGTTTATACAAGCCAGTTTGATTGGTGTCGTTATGTAGGTAAAATTTCAGATCGAAACTCGAAAATAGAGTCTCGTGATACAAATGGGCTTCCGTAATCGAAATTCACTGAAAATGTTGGACGTCCTCAAAAATAGACTATGCGCACGAACTCATTTTATGGTTAACACAGTTCAATAAGTTCGAAATCAAAACTGAACGAATACGTGAAAATGTTTATTTATCAGGAGCGATTCTAATACAGTCAGTCATTCTTCGTTGTTCTCTTGAAATTGTCTTTTTGCCAATTATCCTTTACCATAATAGGTCATCTTGTGTATTATACTACTTCTTTCTCTCAGTTTTTATTTATCATTATAACGGGACTACTGGCATAACCAGGATTTTCGACAGTGGAGAGCGAACGACACAACACCACTGAACTCAGTCTGGTGAAGAAGTTCGACGCCCGTCTTTCGTTACTATTAAGCTACTAATACCTGTCCGTTCGAATTATTAAGATCATAGAATTAAAAGAAGTGCGTAAATCAATTTATAAAAGTTTTCTTGAATGATATATTCGTTAAATTGATACTATCATATACATATTTTTTTTCATTAATTTAACTTGAAGAATCAAGTTCAATAATTATGATCATTACTGAAGATATTTTTGATGCTTAATCTTTTAATCTTGATAGAATCATCGTGTTTTCTACTTTTTTTTTTGAAGTATCTGTTCATCTATCAGAATTACAAGTTGGACCCGAAATTTATCAAAATATATTCAACTACAATTCAAATTGTAGTCTTATAAATCAGATATTCAACTAAAGTTATATCCATATGACGAATTAATCTAGTATAAAAAAAACTGTCAACATACAGCAATAAGAAACATATTTGGAAGAGCAAATGGAACCATTTCAGGATCAATAAATTCAAGTTCCAATGCTGAAGTAATACGTTGTAAATTGACACGCTTTCAAAAAACAAAAGACGAACAATTAAATTAAAGATTTCAAAAAAATTTACCATTGGTAATTTATCAATAACTTGTGGAAGACTTTTATAAAACATTGATCTTTGAATATTATCAACTTGAAATAATGAATCAAGATATTCTAATGTTTTTGTTGCAATATCTTCAAAAAAAGGTACCTAAATAATAAGATTAAATTTTTATAATTATCTCTTCCTTTTTTTACTTACTTTTGAAAATTGTTCAGCATCTGGTCGTAATTCTGGTTTTGTACTTAATAACATTTTAACATGATCACAAGCTTCTTTTGGTAAAATAGATAATTTTGTTGTATTAAGTACTTTAAGTTCATCACACATTTTTGTAAATGAAGAATAATTATCATGACATTCATATAATGTTCTACCATGATTATATAATGCATATAGAAGCATACCAAGTGAAAACATATCTGATTGACTATCATAACTTTTGTTTATTACATATTCTGGTGCCATATAATCAAGTTGCGGATTAAGTATAGGTGAAATATTTCCATCATAATCTCGAAATGGATAAGTTGACTAACAAAATAATACGAATAAAAAAAAAATATATATATATATATTTATTATTTTATCTGACAAATGGGAAAAAAAATTTTACCCCATCAGCAGAACCCTGAACAGATAATTCAAAACCAGCTATTTTCCATGCGCCATTAGTATTAATTATAATTGATTCAGGTACTATATTTCGATGAAGTAATTTTACTTCATTGTGTAAAAATTTTAACCCTTCACAAAGCTATTTTCAAAGAAAATAAAAAATAATAACAAACAATAGATTTTTGTTAAGAAAAATAATAAATATACCTGAACAATACCATAACGAATTTCAACATCATGAAGTTTATAATCTTCAAATTCTTTTGGTATTGGTTGAGTCATATTATCATAGAAACCAAGACAATTAGCAAGACTAGCAAAACAAGATTCAGTTGCAAATGCAAGACTATCACTAAATATACAAAAGAAAATATTTATTTATGAATACAATTGATGAAAATAAACCGTGATTCTTCTAATGGATGTTGAAGACTTAATATACGAGGATGTTTTATCTTTGCTAATTGTTGTACACCTAGAGCATACATTTTTTTTTTGTTTAAAAATATAAGATTTTTCATAAAATTTAAAACCTTTTTTCATTGCTTCAAGAATTAATTCACGATCTTTTTTCGAATATTTATCCAATAAACGTTTTTCTAAGACAAATACAGCTGCCTCCTAAACAATTAGTATTGATAAATGTTTGCTCTAATCTTTGATTAACTCGACAAACTTGTTTAGTTGTACGTTTAATTGCTCCATAAATTCTCCAAAGAAGACCCGGACCAGCTGATCCAAGTGGTCGAACAAGCTTCAAAAATGAAATAATTTTAGTTTTAGTTTTTTTTTTTTGTTTTTTATTTTGAAAATTCTCTACTTCAAATTCTCGTGTAACTAAGTTGCCTGGTAAAACATCTTTAAGCATTTTTTGTCCACCATGAGCTGTATCAACCACAGATTTAACAACAACATTTTTTACTTGATCACCATAAATTTTTAACTTTTCAAGATACTCCATAATCAATTAGACATTAAACTTGATCAAATACAATAAAACAGAACAAAATGAATGAAAATAATACAAGTAAAAATCGACAATAGTTTTTTTCTAATTGGTTAAATAACAGTGCCATCTATTATTATCTTAACTTGAGTTTATTAAAAAAATCAAATATATAATTTAGAATCGGTATATTAATTGATTATAAAATTGAAAAAATTTTTATTTAAAGTGATATTATTAGAAATCTCTACGAAGTAGAAAAAATTAAATAAATTCTCATTGGTTTAGTCTCGTTTCGTGTCGTCGTTTGTTTGTTTGCGTGTTTACTAGAATTTCTTATTCAGTTACTCAATCGTCATCAAAGTTTACGAAAACAAATATTTAAACGTTTAGATTTTTATTAGTTAGACAATTTCTTAAGAAAATCTCTATTTTATAATATTCAATTATATTTTAATTGTTTTATAGAAATTGTTCTTAAACATTTCATTTAAATTGCATCATATATCTAACTGATTATTTTATATAAAAAGCATAAAAAAACATCACGTGTTTTCGTTTCTCTTATTTTTTTTCTTTTTTTTTTTCTTGTGTTGGAAAATTTTATACATCGATCATTTTCTTATTTTAAATGTTCTTTTTTAGTCATGTTTTATTCTTTGTGCTAAACAATTAACAATTGTTGTTTTAAAAAAATGATCAACGAACGTAGTTCTGCACAAGCCAATACACCAACATCTGCTAATATGCAGTATGGTTATCCAACTAGTAAGAATATATATTTTTAACTCAATACAATAAATGATTGCATATATTTTATTTAAGATCATTATGATTTAATGAGTATCCCACCAATGCAAAATCCAAACGATCTTTATTCGTATTATCCTCCAAGTCTTTATCAACCATTTGGTACATTTGAAGATCATAGTCAATGGGGAACAGCCGATACATCAGGCAATGTTCCACCACCTCCACCGGGACCAATGCAATTTCATCCGCAAATGTATACACCATCACCACTTGATATACCTCGTAGTCCATTCGATTATCCTGCTCCCCATCATGCTTATCCTCATTATCATCCAGGTTTTACACCTTCAACATTTCCTGGACCACCATCAACAGGTACATCAGCATTTGATATGTCATGGAATCCACATAATTTATCAATGCAACAAATGCAAGTTGCAGCTCAACAACAAATGACACCTATTGGTGGTGGACCAACATCAATTAAAAAAGCATCTGCTTATGATGAATATCCAGTTAGTGATATGCTTGCTCAACATATGAATGCAGTTGATCTAGGAAGTAGTACAACAAATGATGACACAAATAATTATGACAATGGAACAAATGATAGTACACAAAATGTCAATGTATTATCATCTAAAGAACAGCAACAACATTATCAAACGAATAGTAGTAATCTTTCATTATCATCACGTCCATCTCAAATACCTTCATCGTCTACGTCAAGTGGTCCAAAATCATATGCATCTGTTGTTTCATCTGATACTATTAATACAAATAACAATAAATCGACTTCATCTGTTCCTAATATGCCTATTCGTTCGACAGTACAATCATCAACAAATGAACATATTAATGCGACATCAAATTTTTCTAATGACTCTACTAATTCACGTTCGAATACAAATATGAGAGGTAATAATAATAATACTACGAACAATTATTCTCAACAAACACGTAATGGTACAGGTGGATATAATTCTCGAAATCAACAACAACAACAACAGCAACAACAATCATCCACTAGTGGAGGTTTTAATTGGACAAATAGTAGTTTATCATCGAATTCTCGTGGTAATAATACTAATAATAATACATCATCGAACTATTATAATAGTGGTTCATCGAATTATTATGATCGTCCATCTTATTCACAACAACAACAACAACAAACATCATCAAATAATAATAAACGACCAAATTTAAATTATCAACAAAATTATTCATCATCTCGAACAGCAAATAATATGAGTAATGGTAGTGGTGCAACATCAGCTATTGGGCAACAACCAATATCTGCTGCTAATCAAGAAACTCTTGATTCACTTAAACGAAATCATCAATATAATCCAAAAGATTTTAATTTAAATCCTAAAGGAGCAAGATTCTTTGTTATTAAATCAGTAAGTAGAAAAACAATAATGAATTTTATTAATATTAAAATAGTCGAAATATAATCGACATACATTATAGATTTAGCTTTACTTAAAACATAAAAGCTAACATTTTTGAATAAAAATATAGCAAAAAAAAAAAACAGTAAAATATATAGGAGATTATCAAAGGTGGATATAGGCTTTTTTCGTTATTTATATCTATACTTTATTCGATAATTCATATCTTTCAAAAACGAATAGATTACGTTCTACATTTGCTCTTGTTGATTAGTTGTTGCTTATAAGTATTTCTCGAGATTATGCACTAATTCTTATCTACATGTGACACGATACAAATGAAACATTACACACCATATATAATACCAACTAAAAAGCTCGTATTAGATCCACTCTAAGAAATATACTATATTGTAGGAAACCTAAAACAAAAAGTTTCCGGACATGTTTATACCGGAAAGGCTTCCGAGATAGTTTCGGAAATCTATTTTCAACTTGGAAAAACTTCTAAAAGGCTTCGGAAACCCTTTCGGCACAAAAAAATATCCGGAAATCTCCTTTCTTTTTTGAGTTTCCTAAAATACGGCATTTTATTTTTAAGAATATTCTATCGACAAATAAATTTAAAACGAAATCTATTCTGACATGTAACCACAAGAGATATAATTTTCAAATTTAATTATTCTAAGACATAGAGATCATTGTTATTATAAATAAAAATTTATCTTTTCTTAAAAATAAAATTTATATTCTTTATTTAGTATTCCGAAGATGATGTACATCGTTCAATAAAATATAATATATGGTGTTCAACTGAACATGGAAACAAACGTTTAGATGCTGCTTTTCGTGAACGTGAAGGAAAAGGACCAATATATTTATTTTTTTCTGTTAATGCTTCAGGACATTTTTGTGGTATGGCTGAAATGATGTCACCTATTGATTATGAACATAAAACAGATGTTTGGCAAATGTCAAATAAATGGCAAGGTAAATTTGAAGTCAAATGGATTTATGTTAAAGATGTACCAAATCAACAATTTCGTAATATACGTTTGGAAAATAATGACAATAAACCAGTAACTAATTCACGTGATACACAAGAAATACCATATGAAAAAGGAAAATTAATGTTAAAAACTATGCATATGTATCGTGATAAAACATCAATATTTGATGATTTTCAATATTATGAATCAAAACAAGCAGAAGAAACAACTAAAAAACCTTCAAATAATGACTTTATGAATACTAATACACGTGGAAATAATAATAAACGACAATATTCATCAAATAAAGCATCAACTATTTCATCTGATCAACAACAACAACAACAACAGCAGCATCAAAATGAAAATATAAATAATGAAGATAACAAATAAAACAAATATCAATATGCACGCGATTTTCTTCTTCTTTTTTTTTAGACTACTAATTTATATCCTCTCGCTTTCTATATGGGGAAACTCTTCTTTTTCTTTGTGCGTGTGTGTTTGTGTGAACTTTTTAGTAGACATCATTCATCACTCTGTTTTTGCGCGTGTGTGTATATTTGGGTATGAGGTTACTTGTTTTCTTTTGTTTCATTCTAACACTTTGTGCTAACACCATACAACAACAACAATCTGTTGTTGTTATTGTTTCATGAGTTTTCTTTTGTTGTTGTTTGTTTTTCTCAATGCCGAAGCAAGCTTATTCATTCTCATTTATGTGTTTTCTTTTTCTCGATTGTTATTGTCTAAGCTATTTCACATTATATTTCATCTTGCTTAACAGTTCCTTCTTCTCTTGTTTTCTGTTTTTGTTGTTCCTATAACATTTCACTTATATATCCTTTATCCGCGTGCATGATGATTATCATTGTTTTTTTTTTTTTTTTTATTTAACGTCGTCATTCGATTGCACACATAGTTCTTTTTTCTACTCTTGTATGCGTGTCGTCATGTTTTTTGTTGTTGGCTTGTTTTCTTTTTGCAAGAGAGTTCTATTATATAACTTTAAGAAAAAAACAAAAGAAAAAAATCGAAGTACATGATGAAGGAAAAACAAAAACCAACACGTTCGATTTTTTCAGGATATATATATATATATAATGCATTTGACTCTTGAATTTGCTGGTGGTGCAGAATTACTATTTGGAAAACAAAAAAATCATTCAGTTGATTTACCAGATAATAATTCATCATGGACTATACGAACATTACTTGTATGGATACGTGAAAATCTTCTTCGTGAACGTCCAGAACTATTTATTCAAGGTGATTCAGTTCGACCTGGTATTTTAGTTCTTGTCAACGATATTGATTGGGAATTATTAGATGGTCTTAATTATCAATTAAAATCAAATGATAATATTTTGTTTGTTTCTACATTACATGGTGGATAATAAAAAAGAAATATTATTTTTTTTATTTCAATACATATATATATATATGAGTATATATAAAAAACATTCATAATAATAAGCACTTCAGAAAAAAGAACGAAGAATTTAACCAAGTAGCACTTTTTTAAATTTATTAGTCATATCTTTTGATGGTATATTCTCTGTATCATCAGAATCGGATGATGTCATTTGAAATGTTGGCGCTGATGTACATGCAGGTGTACATAAAAATTGAAGTAAAGGTAAATAGAATTTACCACAAAAATCCACGAATTTAATATTTTTATGATAGCTTTCAAAATAAACACCTAAATCAGAAGAAACAAAAAAAAATTTAACAATAAAAAAAAAGCTAATAAATGAAACTAACCTTTGCATTTTGGATTTAAACATGATTTAGCTGAATTTAAATATTCAACAAGATTTCGTGGTATTGATCTATCATTATAAGGTATTTTATGAAATTTTATTGTTCTACCGGCTAATTCTTTTAATGTTGGTACATCATATGTTAAATCTCGGACAAAACGTACAACAAGTGGGTTATTTCTTAGACTTAATTCTTGTAAATCAAGACGTATAATATCTGGCGGCAAAGCACTAAATTGATTGTTATGTAATGAAAGTGATTTTAAACGAGTTAAAACTAAAAATATAAAAGCAAATTTGAAAACGAAAATATAAAAGAAAAACAATTGATGCTTGTGTTTTTTTCACTTACGAGAAATCGAGCGTGGTAATGTACGTAAACGATTTCCACTTAAATTTAAAACAATCAACGAACGCATATACCCAATTGAATCTGGTACATTACCAATCTGATTACCACCCAAATAAAGAACTTCAACTCTAATAAAAATATAATATAATATACAAAAAAGAACAGTTTCTATTGATTTATCTTTCTAACTTGACTAATGTATGAAATAAATCAGGTAGAAATGCTATTTGATTTGAACCTAAATAAATTTCTTTTAAACTGGGCATTTGAAATAATTGATAAGGAAATTGTTTAAGACGATTTCCACCTAAATTGATAACTTCTAATTGTTTTAATTGTTCAAGCTCTTTGGGTAATGAAAAATCATCAAGGACATTATTTTTTAAATATAAATTTTTTAAATTTCTTAATAAAGATATTTCAGATGGTAATTGAACCAATTGATTATTTGATAATTCAATTGTAATTAATGATTGAAAATGTTCAATTTCCGTTGGAATGCTTAATAACATATTAGAATTTAATTGAAAATTTTTTATACGATTTGGATTTTTAATTGAATTAAATAAATCGTTTACATCAAGTTTGGAAATATTTCGATGAGAATAATCAATTGTATCATTGAAAATTGTTTGTGAGCTTAAAGAGAAAAAATATGATCAAATTCAATGAAATGGCATTTGTTGTTTTTTTGTTTCAAATTGTCAAAATGAATACCTGCAATCACAATCTTCATCTTCGTCGAAATCGTCATCAAAGTCATAGTCACCTTCATAATCATCATTGGTTGGTAAAGCTGCTGCCGCCATTTTTTGACGAGTAATTTATCTGAAAGAGAGGCATATGATTTTTGGTTATTCCGTATAACCTATATTATCATGTGACAGACAAAAGAAAAGTAAAAAGAAAAATTTCATTGTACGTGAGACTCGCAAAAACAACATAACGACATAATAATAACAACAATTCTTTTGATACAATGTATTTTTATATATAGTCTATACGATGAGATTGAGATGCATGTCTTGTTTTTTTGTTAGAAAATAAGAAAACAAAACTGAATGAGGCATTTTTAATAAGTAAATGCATCATTTTATCATTCGAAACAAAGATAGTGCTAAAAAAAATGCCGAGTCATATGCCAATGCAATAGTATAGGCCTAAATCTGATCTTTTCAATATATTTATTTACAATCACAAGAGATTATCTAACCCAACAAACTGATAATATTCAAGTAGAATCCAAAGTTATACCATACATTCACCGAATGGTATAACGCATGTTGATGAAATGTACTTTTCTCCAATAAATCTCTTTTTTTTTCGAGGGAACTGGATGTGTTCTATGCATCTTTGCCAGGAAAGAGAAAAGGAAGAAAAAGAAAAGAACAACACAAAACAAGGATCCAAGTAAATAACCAATTTGTTATATAACAATTGGTAAAGTTGGTCATACACGTGAAACAAATATAGAAAAATGTCAGGGCAAAGTACAAAATAGTTCGAATATCCAAGATATAAACATTCCTCTATGAAGTGAAAATAATCAAAAAAAGAAATAAAATATTAAATGAAGAGAAAAATATAATATCGAATTTATCGACTAATTAATCTTACATTCATTTTCACATCATCTTAATATCATGAATGTAACAATTGAAGGACAAAAAGGTGTACTTATATCTGTTTTTTGTCAGAGAATATACTTATTTGTTATTTTCTCATAAAATCTTATTACTTGCAAAAGTGCATTGATGGAAAATTACTATGTAGCAAATTAGACGAAGTATGCAATAAAATGGGACTCGATTTGAAAAATGAATTCTATTCATATATATATATATAACATATTTTCCTAAAAACAAATGATTAATAAATTCCATTAGTTAACATATTTTGTTGCATCTATTTTCTTTTTGTTTAGTTAACTATTTTGCAAAAATAACAATTGAAATAAGCATTAACTAATTATCTTTCTGTATCAACAAAGAAAAAAGAACAATAGTTTTCTTTTTTGTTTTCTTTTTCACAAATTTGTTTATCTATTATTATTATGAAATATACAACTAAACAAATGATTCTTTATCAAATGAACGACGATTTAATGCATCAAGTACGTCTTGTACACTAGGATAATAATAAAGTCTATTATTATTCGTTGATCTATTTGTTGAATTATTCGTATTTCCAATTTGATCAGTTGTTAGTGATCGTGTTAATGTATATGAACGAGCTGTTGAATCAATATCAGATGGATTTATTGTGGAATTTCTTTTTGTTGTCAATATATATTGTTGTTGATGATATTTTTTTGGACGCTCAATTACTGGATTTGAATAATAATTATTTATTGGTACAGGACGTTTTATTGAATGTGGATTATTTGCTTGATATGGTGTTGATATAGCTGATGATGGTATTGTACTGACATCAATTGATGGAAAATCATGATCAATAGGTTCAAATTGATAATCATTATGTAAAATTGTACTTGCATTTTCACATAACATTCGATTATTATTATTCATCTGTCTCCAAATATCATCATTCTCATTATCTTCATGATAAGATGTATTTGTAGCTAAAAATAAAAGAAGAAAAAAATTTGTTTTCAAGAATCTCTTAAATAAATAAGAGCATTTGTTTTATATATAACAAAAACCAAAAGAAAACGAAGAAAGAAGCATATGATATGTGCTAAACCATCTTTCAAGTCACTGATGAATAATACTGATTCTTTCTCGCCTGTCAGTTTTTCTAGTCTAGCAAATCTCTTGAGAGATACAACACGCACATACTACAAAAAAAAACGAAAAAAAATTTAATCCAATATTTTCCTGAGTTATTTCTCCAATGGGATCATGTATGGAATAACTGAGTTTTTTTTCTTAAAAAAGTATAGTAAAAGAAAAAAGAAGAAGAGAAAAAAAATACCGGCATCTGTTAACATGGTCTCTCTTGAATTCATCATAGATGATAATTGACAACGAGAACACGAATTATGTAGTCGTGAAAAACTTGTTGAACGAAGTGTTGCTTGTGTATGATGATTTCGAATAGCAATAGAATTTAAATTGGCTGAAAGATTATTATTAGATGGTAAATAACCAAAGTGAACGCCATTTCCAAACTAAAAGAAATGAAAAAAAAAATGTAAGGAAAAAGCTTAGATACTTAGCGATATTAAAAAAAGGATCTCTTCTTTCTATTCACTCGTTTTCTCTCTCTTCCTTTTTCTTCTGAACAATGAACTTTGATTGAAAAACTAACATTCTATACTACCTTTATATTCTTTATTCTCTTTTTCTTACGTATATATTATAATATATGAATATAAGCTATTATTTTGTTCTACTTGAAACGTTTAATTATACTCCGTATCTGTATAAAGTTGCATGTGAAAAGAGACTGCAAACATTATCAATGCTACTATTCACTCAACGAGACAATCAACTATCTTCTTTTTTTTTTTGCAAAAAAGAAAAAGCAGTAACAGAGGAAAAAAGAAAAGATGTCGATGAATTTCCGCCTTGTTTTGTTCGTTTCTAGTTTTTTTTCTCTCTTCTCTCTTCTATTTTCTTTCTTTTTTGTTCTCAAATAAATAACCGAACATCATAGTTATAATTTTTCTCGCTTTGAGAACATCATTTTCGTCTATCATTATTATCTTCATCATAGCATTAACGTGCAAATCAAGCAAACGATCGATTAATCATGCAATATATGAAAGCCCGACTGACTTCATAATTGACCTTCATGAGTTACTTTATTCTGCTTTTTTTGTTTATATATATATATATATTAGATATATTTATATGTGCTGAAAGACAGTTTTTTTTTCTTCGCTTGCCATTTAAATGGACATGAAAAACAGGAAAAAGAAAGAAAGTCGATGGCCTTTTTTTCTTAGATTTCCGTTCTTTGACATTTGATTGATGTATTGACTAATATATAGATATATTCTTTTGAAAAAAGATGGAACTTACATATCGAACATTTGATTCATTTGCTGCACAACCAGAAGTTAAAACAAAATTAGCATCAGTTATAATATGATCAGCATCATAACTAGTATCTTCAATCTCATCATCATCATGTGTTAATGTTTCTTTTTCATATTGTTGTTGAGAATTAATTGGAAGAGATAATGATTTAGGTAAAACTGTAACTGATTGATTAACTATTTCATGTTGTCTTACTTGAATTTCAAATTGTTGATGATTTTGTTCATTTTCTTTTCGTTTTTTTATTGATATACGATTATAACGATAACATGTCCATACAGCAGTTAGAACAAGTATAAACCAACTTATAATTAATAATATAAGAAAACGCCATTGAAATTTTTGAAAAAAAAATTTTGATAAAAAATTTTTTTGTTTTATTAAAAATGGAATTGAAGAAGTTGTTAGAAAAAAATTTTCATCATTTTCTTCTTCATTTATGAAACGATGCGTTAAATTAAATTTTAATGTATAAAAACGTTCACGTGATATAGGTAAGCCATGATCACGTAATAGAAATGCAAGTGTATATGTTCCATCAGGTACTGTTACATTAATTTTTGTCATTAATATTGATGAATTTGTAAGATTATTTTTTATTAAATTAAAATAATAATATGATGTACAATTAAGACATTCAATTGAAATTAAACTATTAAGACCATCATCAAGATCAATCGGTTTAAATTCATAAATAATTGTTTCTTCATTATTGATTTGTTCAATTGATAAATCAAATGGATTTGATAGAAATGGTTCAAATGGTAAATTATCATTATCATCAAGAATTTGAATTCTAATATATGTTGGAAGTGAATAAGATTTTAATATTGGATCATACATTAATATTGATAAAGTATAATTTGATTGTAATTCACGATCAAGTATAACTAATGTGCGTATAAAACCTTGAGAATCAATTGAAAATAAATTTGATAATGATTCATTTCGATAAGAATCAACAAATAAAAAATCAACCATAGAATAATTTATTGTACTAAAAAAAAGATTTAATTTCAATTTTCATTTAAATAATAAAATCCGGAAAAAAAAAGATAACAGGAAAATAATTTTTATAAATTTATTTCCTTCTTTTTTATAAACTTGCTAAAAAAATTAAAAACGTCAAATACAATCTTTCAATATCAAACACATGGTAAAATTCAATGAATTCTAAATCTTTAAGGATATCGGAAGTTGAATATAAATTCAAAAAACAAAACAAAATCATAAGAATTATGTCAACTCAAAGGACTTATGGGCGGGTTTGAACATTCGAGAATGGGTGTGGTTGTATTTTGAGTGTGAAAGCTAATTAAAGGCTTCATCCATCCTCATTATCTTTCACACTCATGCGTTCAATCAACTCCTATAATCTTTCCCAAACAACACCCACGTCCTCACTTTCTAAGGCTGTTTGGGATCTTTGAATTCCTTTTGTTTTGTTAATACATGAAATTATAAAATATTCTATAATTTAATATTAACTTGCACTACTTAACAAAATGAAATTAATATTTAGAAAATCTTCCAGAATTTAAAGAAATCTCAAAATTTGATTACTTTTACAACTTCGTATAAAATTGATATTTGAAGAATTTAAAAAGGTTTTTTTTTCCCTATTTTTATATTAATGATTTTTCACCTTGATGTTTTAATTGATGAATTTGATTTAAATAATTCCATATCAACATCTTCAATTGTTGATAAATTAATATATTTTTCAACTGGTTCCTGTTCATCTCTATCACCAATCGTTAATCTTCCAACAATAGTTCCAATAGGTGAATTTTCTTGAACATCAA